CAATAAGAGAAGTGAAGGATTAATACACAAAAAATTAGACAGATCATTGATAAATGAGGAATGGTTACTTACTCAGCCTCGCTCATACTGCATTTTTGAAGCCGGCGGCTGCTCTGACCATCTGCGAGGAAGAATATATATGGATGATGTCCAAGAGAATGTCAAAGCTCCTTTCAAGTTTGTCAACACGTTGGCAAAACTACCCGAAGTCATTCCAGCAGTTAAAGAATACTGGGAGCAATCTCCTGCCCTATTTTAATCTACCTCTGCTCTTCATCGCTTGTCTAAAAAACTAAAGGAGCTGAAGCCAACGTTACGGGTGCTATCAAGGGAGCGTTTTGGTGATCTTACAAAGCGTACAAAAGCAGCTTATGAGAATCTCTGTTCTCAGCAAGAAGCCAATGCCACAAATCCGACGGTGGAAGGGATTGAAGCAGAATCTGTGGCTCTAAATAGGTGGGAACATTTATCTGATCTGGAGGAAGGCTATTTAAAACAGAAATCAAAGCTGCATTGGATGAATGTGGGTGATAGGAGCAACAAAGTGTTTTTTCGAGCAGTGCGGATACGACAAGCGAAAAACATGATACGTGAGATTGTGAATGCAGAAGGACAAGTGCTTAAAGACAAATCAGACATTAAAGGAGAAGCTGAAAGACACTTTTGGGAGTTTCTCAGCCACATTCCATCGGATTTCCAGGGACTGGAGGTTGATATTTTGGAGGATTTGCTGGAACGGAAATGTTCGGAAGCTGATTGTGGATTATTGGAGAAGGAGGTTACAGAGGGTGAGATCATGAAAGTTCTTTTCTCGATGCCGAACGACAAGTCTCCCGGACCAGATGGGTTTACAGTTGAATTTTTCAAAGGTGCATGGGCAATTATCGGTAGTGATGTTACAACCGCTGTTCAGTCATTTTTCAAGTATGGTTTCCTCCCCAAAGGCTTGAACTCCACTATTCTAGCCTTGATCCCGAAGAAAAATGATGCCAAAGAGATGAAGGATTACCATCCTATCTCTTGCTGCAATGTCCTCTACAAAGTTATCTCAAAAATATTGGCAAATCGTTAAAAGGGCATCCTCCCTAGCATCATTGCCCCAAATCAGACTGCTTTTGTCAAAGATCGTTTGCTTGTTGAGAATGTCCTCCTCGCAACTGAACTTGTGCAAGATTACCATAAGGACTTATCTCCGTCTCGTTGTGCTATGATGATAGACATTGCGAAAGCTTTTGATACAGTACAATGGAGGTTTCTTCTAAATGTTCTAAAAGCTTTGGGGCTGCCAAATAGATTTATCGAATGGATCAGACTCTGTATCTCTACAGCGTCCTTTTCTGTACAAGTCAATGGGGAACTTGTGGGGTATTTTCAGAGCCGCCGAGGTCTTCGACAGGGATGCGCTCTCTCGCCATACCTTTTCGTCCTCTGTATGAATGTATTGTCTTGCATGTTAGATAGAGCGGCAGTGGAAAAGAAATTCGGCTATCATAAGAACTGTTCCAAACTACAGCTAACCCATTTATGTTTTGCGGACGACCTTATGGTCTTTTCTGATGGAAAGATTCGATCATTAGAGGGGATTGTTGAGGTGTTCGACTCTTGCGTCGGGTCTTAGAATTAGTTTGCAGAAGTCCACCATCTACATGACTGGTATTCCGGACGAGGACCGTACGATTATTGCCGAGCAATTTCCCTTGAATATGGGTACTCTTCCAGTTCGCTATCTTGGGCTCCCCTTGACGACAAAGAAGCTGAGTAAGGAAGATTATGCTGTTTTGATTGCCGATATTAGTAAGAGGATAGGATCATGGATTGTTCGACACCTATCCTACGCAGGAAGATTGCAACTTTTGGTATCAGTTATCTCGGGTCTTTTAAATTTTTGGATGTCGGCGTTTCACCTGCCGCGTAGCTGTATCAAAGAGATCGATTCCCTCTGCAGTGCTTTCCTGTGGTCTAGGCCTACACTAAGTTCAAAAAAGGCGAAGGTATTTTGGTCAGATGTCTGCAAAAAGAAATCAGAAGGAGGGTTAGGGATACATTCTCTAAAGGAAGCAAACATGGTGAGCTGCTTGAGGATTATTTGGCATCTCTTATCAAACAAATCCTCTCTATGGGCAACTTGGATCAGAACGTATTTACTTCGAGGGAAATCATTTTGGTCATTACATGAAAATCAAGTTCAGGTTTCTTGGATATGGCACCGGTTACTAAAGTTGAGGGAAATCGCTCGGGACTACATCGTATGAAAGTCAATAATGGAGAGGAGACATCATTTTGGTATGATGATTGGTGCCCCTTAGGACCGCTGATCGATGTTACGGGTACTTCGGGGTTCATTGCTTTGGGCGTCTCAGCATACGCATCTGTAGCCACTGTTCTGCGAACTCATAGGCAAAGGCGACATAGAAGAGATGACCTCAATTCTATAGAAGAGGCAATTTCTTCGGTTGCAGGCCTTCAGAATGAAAGGGATGATCAATAGATGTGGAAGATGACAGGTGATCATTACCATCACAAGTTTTCCTCCAAACACACTTAGGCACAATATACGATACCCACCACCAGCCCAGCAAGATTGGTCGCCGATGATCTGGTTTTCTGGAAATACCCCAAAGTATGCTTTCCTCTCTTGGCTAGCTATGTGGAATCGCTTATCTACAGGTGAGATAATGGCTCAATGGGGGCCAAGTATATCGACGACGTGTGTCCTCTGCTCTTCTCCTATGGAAAACAGAGCACATCTGTTCTATGAATGTGCTTTCTCAGATCAAGTTTGGCGGAGTCTAACTCAGCGCCTACTGGGTCAATATTATACGAACAAATGGAATGAGGTTGTAGACCTGCTTTCGTCAAACAGGTTAAACAGAATACAGCTGTTTCTTGCGAGATATACGTTTCAAGCCTCCCTATCTGGAAAGAACGAAATGGTCGCAGACATGGCGAAACACCATCGCAGGTGCATGACTTAATCCGTATTCTAGACAAAACGGTGCGTAATCGGCTCAGTTCACTGCGACTTGCAGGGAATCACCGTTACGAAGATGGGTTGGAGATCTGGTTTGGCTCCGGGGGATGATATTGCACGCAAGGAGCTGCACAAATCATTTACTATAACGCTTACAAGGATTTGATCATATTTCTTTTATTATCTTCTCAAACAAGTTAATGTAAAGAAAACAGTTTTTTTGAATATCATTTAAAATATTTTCAAAAAAAAAAAAAAGATAATCATAGAAGCTCTGTCGCTCTTTTACTTAGTTCTTCTTTTATTTTGTTCCTTCATCATCAAGTAAAACTGATTTTAAATTTCAAAAATTGAGTAAATTATTTCAATAACCAAAAATAGGGTGAAATTTACAAAAATAATTAAGGTCCCACCAAAAACTATATATAATAATGAGTTATATGAATTGTTAACGGAGTTATTAATTTATTTAGTGTGTTACACATAAATTTATATCTAATATTATTTCTTATACTGTAAAGAATATGATAGATTGATAATAATATTGAATTATATAGATTATTATAAGGTGTTATTGATTCTTTTAGTGTGATACAAATAAATATAACACACTATTTGAATATGTTACCAGTCTAACAGTAACTTGAAAGACTAATTCAATTTTGTTGTTATTCTCCACCACCACACTTTCACTCACCATCACCGTTTGTCATCATTATTGTCAATTTTTTGGTGTACTAGTTTATTTATAGCATTCTAGTTTTTTTCATGAATTTGCATATATTTTTTACTTAAAATTTGTGATCTTCGGTGAGAAGAATAAAAAACTAGGAGAGAAAACTATAATAACAACTCTGTGGTGAGACTATTATCGAAAATCCCCAAGATTCAAAGCTTCCTCAAGTTTCAGATTTTTCTGGTGGTGTTGCACTGAGTGACACATAACTTGGACGCTGTAATCGTGGCCAAGAAGAAAGGTTTGTTGTTTCTCTGACAAAATAGAGAAAAAGAAATGAATCTGTGAATCAGATAGAGATTGAAAGAGAAGAAAATTATATTATCCATAAGAATAGATAAGAAAGAGATAAGTATAGAAAAATAAAGAGATAGAAAATCCAAAAGGGTAATCTAGATTATAGAAAAAGTAACAGTGCAATGAATAATGAATGGTTATATCTGGAAATATTAGTGTAGAGATGGTTATTCTTAATAATTATTCTTCTTGTTATTGTTACACCATTTGGATGAAATAGAAACCGAACCAATTAATCAAGTTTTAAGAAACTGCAAGATTGAAGTTCTTCGTAAAGTTTATGTAATATATAGAATTAAATTTTGAAGATTGAAATATATAAGTAATATAGTGGGGCATGAATAACGCGCGAGCATGATGTTTAATTTGATATATAATTCTGCAAATATATAGGTTATCTTTTTTATTTATGTGTTATATCCATTTTTAAGACCAGGTCCAAATCAATGAGTTAGCCGTGATAGGACTGTCGAGTGTTTTCTGCAATCGCCAATTCGTGGCTGGCGACTAAATGAAGACTTATCGTGGAATGTGTCCATGAATTTTAGACAACTATGCATTGTTTATATATTTTTGCCGGATCTGTCTCTCTCTTTTATTTTGAATTCTCCGTGCAATTTGTATTCATGAGGTCTTTTTCAATTAAGTATGTTTGCAGTTTTCTTTTTTTTGGATGAATGTCAAATTATATTTAAACCTGAAAAAAATATGTTTTTTTAACGAAATGCGAGCTTTTAAAATAAGATACATGAGTTAAAAAATAAAATCACTCAAAAGCCTTCCCAATTTGAAGATCCATTAGGACATTGGTCTTGAGGCAAACCAGAGCTGCAGGCCTTCATCATATCGACTATCACCGAGAAGTCGTATGGCGCTAAAACGATTCCTGATCCCTTTGTCTATTTCCTTGATTAACTTCGATACTGGCGATGCATTTTCTCCATGCAGTTTTTACTAAGCAAGTTTTTCTTTTGTTCTTGATTTTCATAGAAACAAGAAAGTGAGAGAAAACATGAAGAGTCATCTTTTGTTGGCCATGATTGGAACCTTTGCCGTTATAGTTGGAGCCCAGACACAAGAAGGTAATAATATACATCATTAAGGATCTTCCATTGACTTTAGTCTTTAGATATATTATATATGTATCAATATTCCTTTTTTTTTTTTAACAGGATTCATCAGTTTGAATTGTGGATTACCTGTTGATGAATCTCCTTACGATGATTTGTTTACTGGGGTGACATTCACATCGGATTCCACATTCATTCAAACAGGGAAAACTAGTAGAGTCGATAAAAGTCTCAACAAAATATTAGCAAGACAATATTTGACTCTGAGATACTTTCCTGAAGGAAAGCGGAACTGTTATAGTCTAGATGTCAAGAGTGGCACAAAGTATCTTATCGCGGTTAGCTCTGTATATGGGAATTATGATGGTCGTAATATTGATCCAAAGTTCGATATCTATATTGGTCCCAATAAGTGGACAAGTATGGATTTGGCAGGAAGACAAAATGGTACAACAGAGGAGATCATTCACAAAGCTAGGTCCAACTCTTTGGATATTTGTCTTGTTAAGACAGGAACAACGTTTCCAATAATTTCAGCCATTGAGATACGGCCGCTGAGAAATAATACTTATGTTACAAAATCTGGTTCACTAAGGTTGTCCTTCCGGACGTATCTCAAGAGTTCCGCGGGATATATAAGGTAAGTCGACTCCATCTGACGCATTCAATATGATGTGCTCCTTTTTTTTTAATTCTATTTAAATGATAAGCTTTCTTGTAGAGATTTATGCGAAACTATACAAAGTAGTAATGAGATGACAAACCATGATCATAAAATGGTAGATTATTAAGCTCCAACTTTTGACCTTTTTGGTCAAAAGTCGTGTTCGAGATAGATATACATTCCTATATAGTCAGTCTCATACCATGTGAATAATTTTGGGGGTTATTTTCTGGAAATGTTTATATTAGAAATGAAAAAAGCAAATATTTTTTTTTTAAATTACCATAAATAACTGATGACGTTATTTTTTTTTTTTTAAATTACCATAAAGAGGCTAGAAAATATACTAGTCTTTATTTAACGTGCTCCATCTGTTACTGGATTTTTTCCAGCGCACCACTTTCACCCTCAATGGTGAATTAGATTTCCCTTTCCACCGCCTATGCCACCCCGAATTGCAGTCCGTATTTCAGTTCGTACCTTTTTTTTAACCCATAAAAGTAGATATCCAATTGGTGATGAGATTCCAAACCAGGAATCTGAGCCGCACATGCTTGAAATTGTTGGTGGTGGGTCACGCACAACCCCCAAAGCCCATTACAAGTATAGATCAGTCTACTTAGCGAATTGGACCCATTAGCAAGAGTTGGTTTTGACCTGCCGGTCAGGCCAGTGCAACGTTAAGTAGGTGACTGACCCATCTGACCGACCGCCTAATCGATCTGACCGACTGACAAGACCTGCAATCATTATGTATCGTTTTACCTCATATTTTTACTATAAATAACTGGTTACTAGTTAATTTGTTCCGCGTGAACTATATATATCTACCATTTTATAAATAAATGATTTTAAGAGCATTAAATTTTTTTTTATCTTTGTCCGAAATTAGACGAATCTAAAATTTACAAATAAACTTTTGATTTTAACAAAAGGGTTAAAAAATCTTTCGATTTGTTTGTCTATACGTTATAAATAGTATAGATAGAATGAAGAAGAAGGCAGAGGTTAAACAATTTTAAAAATTGTGAGAGAAATAGTGAAAAGTGGCTGATATTTATACTAAACAATAAAAAATCGAAAACCTTATAAACAAAAGAAATCGTAAACACTATAATAATTAACGATATTATTGCATAAATTTAGATTTTTTGTGTTTTTTAAAAAAGATTTTTTCTAAATTTTGAGAACATAAAAAATGGTGAATTTCTAGATTTTTTGTGTTATTTTTAAAAACGTTTTTATTTTTTAAAAAAAATTCTCGAACATAAGAAATAGTAATTTTTTAGATTTTTTGTGTAATTTTTAAAAACGTTTTTATTTGTTTTTTTTGTCAAACATAAGAAATGGTAAATTTTTAGATTTTTGTGTTATTTAAAAAAAAATAGTTTTGTTTTTTTAAAAAAAAATTAGAGAACATAAGAAAAGGTAAATTTCTATAATTTTGTGTTATTTTTTTGAAATTTTTTGTTTATTTTTTTTATAAATTACGGTTTAATATAATTTAAAAACAGTTTGATTTGGCAATGAAATTAAGTATTTAACTATAATTATTTAGATCGGTTTGTTTTAAGTGTTTTTACACTTCATCAGATAAAAACTAATAAAAAATGACACGTAATTGGAAAATATGGTTAAACGGTCTTTTTGCGGTCGAAACTGATTCTGGAGCTGACACGTAAGCAAAAAATGGTGAAATTTATTGTGAACGCGACACCTAAGCAAATCACTACACAAATAAGTATATAGATTATTTAAAAAACGGGATCCGTAACTTTGAGAGAAAATAATTTAAGAATGCTAATCTTATCATTAACCAAGAAAACAACCTATCTCCACGTTATTACCGATCTGTTACGTCCACCGACCTATCTCAGTCCAGTCATTGATTCGAACCGCTTACCGATCTATCTCAATATTCTCACCGATCCATCGTGTTCTCACCAACCAATCTAATACTTTATAATTAAAATAATATCTCTGATCCCGATCCTGAAAGTTTACCGTTATATCTCTCTGCCTGAATACAATACAACAATTGGCCCACTGTGGGGCGGAGAAGATACTTCTTAATGCAGAAAGTAGATCGGAGATGGCAGGAACACCAACGAAAGCTGACCGACCGACCTCATCGGTGGCAAATGTTAACCCCAAGGTTTCTAATAACAACGCTGTCAACACTCAGGCTCTTGACCGATCAGTTAATCCTATTCCAAACCCGGCCGAAGAGACGAACCCACAGATATGAGTCACACCGCCGATGCAAACTGACGTCTCCGCCTAATTGCGTCACACCCGCATAGATGATCTGACCAGAGAAAACGACACACGTTTCAATGAGTTAGCAGCCGCACAGCTAACTTGCCAAGATCAGATCAACGTCATGCACTCATCAGAGGTCCACACCCCAGAAAAGCAGACCGCTCAGGAAGTGTGACGCCTACATCAAAATCTGTTTGGTGATTCCCCATCCGTACCGACCGGTGCAAACAGACCGAGCTCAGCTTGTAATGAGACGAGCACCGGGCCATCTAACTACGACACTCCTGTTCAAACGACTGTCCTCAATCGCGATGCCGAGATGGAGGAAATGAGAGCAAAACTCCGAGCCATGACTTCACTGGTTCATCAAGCAACAAGCTCGGCCCCGGAAATTGATCGTGTACTAAAAGAAACCCAGAGCATCTTGGATCAACGATATACCCATCCGAAACACCATCAAATTCAATCTACCCACCTCTGATCCTAGCCAATACATGACGGCGTTCAGCATCACAATGAGACGATCTTGTTTCACCGTAGAAGAACGAGACGCAGGACTCTGCCAGCTCTTTGTCGAGAACCTGAGCAGTTTGGCCTTGGTTTGGTTCTCGAAGTTAAAAACTAACTCAATCAACAGCTACCACAAACTATCTACCGCCTTTCTCAAGCGGTACATGATGTATATCCAAGGTTCGGTGTCAAACGCTGATCTATTTAACATCCTCTGAGGGCCTAAGGAGTACTTCCGGTCCTTTATAGCCCGTTTCAACACTATAGTATCTCGAGTAACGATCAATACCGGCGCTTAGAAACACTCTTCGAATGGACACCAAATTCCTAGACAGTCTAAATTTGACCCGCCTCAAGCTTTCGAAGATGCGCTACAGCGAGCAATCATGTACATGGAAGACGAGGATGAGAAAGAAGAAGCCACAAGAAAAGAGCCAATCACAAAGCCGAATGTAATCAAACCAAACCCTTGGGATGAAAACTACGAGTCGCGCCAGCACTTTGACAAAAACTTCAATCCCAACGACCGGAACAAAAGGGGTGCATCCTTCAACATCAATGCAGGACAGCCTCAACAACAACCTAATAAATGGGCCCACAACGATGATAACCGGGGTTAAGCTCCATTTTGCGAGTTTCATAACAGATACGGTCACCCGACCGCCCATTGACATCTCCTCCAAGGATATCTATTGGCTCAGTATCAGAAGAGTGAGATCAGGGGGTACCAACCATTTCCCAAACCGACGTCCCGAGAACAATGCCTACCAGCAACAGCGATCTAACGGAAATTTTAACACCAACCAGCGACCATGGTCCTGAGGAAACGTTAATATCGATCAACAAAAGCAGATCGGCGAGAATTTTCAACTACCATCACCACCTCCCATGACACAAATGATCGGCGCCAAACAGCCAAATCGAGACATAGAAAGGTCGCCCTCTCTCCAACGAAAAAAGAAATACGACAGACAGGTGATGATCGCGCAGAAACACGCCGCAAAGGTTGCCAAACAGCTTAAAGCCGACGAAACGATCATATTTACCGAAGACAACGCTGAGGTCAGCACACCCCATAACCCCTCGTGCTCGAACTCCGAGTGGGCGACTGCAAGATATCTCGCATACTCATCGATACCGGGAGCTCGATCGATTAAATATTCAAAGAAACGTTGGATAAAATGGCTTTAACCGACTATCCGTTCAGGACATCCGTCAAACCATTGACATGATTTGACAGTGATACCACTATGTCGATAGGTACAGTCCGGCTGCCGGTATACGTAAGAAGAATAATTAAACTGGTAAAGTTCACCGTCATCGAAAAACCGGCGATCTACAATGTTATATTGGGAACACCTTGGATTCACTCCATGAAAGCTGTGCCATCGAGGAATCATCAATGCTTAAAGTTCCTAACCCCAAGCGGAGTTAAAACGATCTGGGGAAACCAAGAGATCGCAAGGTTGTTGCTTCGCCGCCGAACACAAATTACGTTTGACGACCAAGGCATGCCTAACCGTCATTCCTCGGATCCAAGTCGACCTCCCCCCGCAAAACCAGCCCAAACGCAAGCTAACCCTTCAAGTTAATATTGATGAGACCATTCCGATGCGCTGTGTTGGCATCGGCACCGATCTCAAAGAAGAAATCAACACCGAGCTGGTTCACCTACTGCGTCAGATTGTATCAACTGTAGCATGGTCTGCCGAGGACATGCCAGGCATCGATATAATCATTGTTTGTCACGAGCTAAATGCTGATCCCATGTTTAAAACAGTAAAGCAAAAGAGACGAAAGCTGGATAACGAGAAGGCCAAAGCTGTTAATGACAAAGTTAGCGCTTGTCGACGGCAGGATCCATAACCGAAGTGAAGTATCCAGAGTTGCTGGCAAAAGAGCGGAAAATAGAGAATTTGTGTCGGCTACACAGATCTGAACAAAGCATGCTCGAAAACTGTCCTCTACCTCACATCGATCGCCTGGTGGAAGCGACCGCGGAAAACGAGTTACTATCATTTATGGATGTCTTTTCTGGGTACAACCAGATCCTGATGAATCCCAATGACCGCGAGAAAACTTCATTCATCACCGATAGGAGAACTTATTGTTATAAAGTCATGCCATCCGGGCTAAAAAACACATGAGCAACCTACTAGCGCCTCGTCAACCGCATGTTTGCCGACCATTGAGGACTACATAGA